TAGAGCAATTGCCTGCGTCCAGTTCTTAATATTTTTTATATTGTAGACTTAAAAATTCCAGCAATTTAGTAGTGAACTTTAAAGGGAAGTCAAAGAAACATATTTACATAAAAAAATCACCATCTGTGTAGCAGAGTTTGAGATACGGTATATATTCTTGACATATATAATCAAGCTTGCCTTAACTGGTAAATGCATGTCTTTTTAGTTGCACATCTCCATTTTGTAACACTTCATTTTAATAGTAAAGTAAGATTTTCTTTAAAAATGTAAGACATTAGACTCAATTTATCATAACCCTGTTGAGAAAATCAAGGTTTCTGTTACACCTTTGAGAGTATCCCCTCAGTGCTACAGCTGAGCCTTATGATGAGCAAATTGAACACACACAAGAGTACCAATGGACCAAGTGTACAGCCGCTGCCGTGACTTCGCTTATTGGTTTTAGTGAGGTTATGGCTACATTAACATGTTTTGAAAACCACATCTTAAACAAAAATCAATTTGCCCATAAAGAGAAGTGTGCCAATGCATACAGAACTTTTTGGATAAATAAACCCACTGGATTGAATTTCTCCTGAAATTCAGTTTGTTCTACATTTTTATACCCCCTTTAAAATGTAACTCTTTAAACACGCATTTTATTTTGAAAATATAAACCAGAACTCTCGTGTCGCATTATGCATCTCTTCACTTCTCTCTGGTTGTGTGAAGTTGGTCCTGATCGAAAAACACCGTTCAGAAAAGCAACTTTTGGCATGTCTTTGTACTGCCCCTTTACGCTTTAAAACAAAACACGAAATTCGGAATGAACACAAAATGGTGTTAAGAGAGGAAGTAACGGATTTGACTTGTTTGTCCTCGGGAATAAAGTTGGGAAACTACGAGGTGAAAATGGAGAGCCCAGCTGAGTGAGAGTGGGGTGAGGAGGCTGGATTTGGCAGAGCTGGGAGTCCTGCCCTGCTGCTAGCAAGCTAGTTAGCATGCTTGGACACTTCGCTCGGAAAAGTAAGGAGGTGAGAATGGAGGTATCTGTAACTGTGAAATAGCGGGGTTGTTTGTAAAAGACTACAGAGACTGCTGCTGAATAAAATGATCAAGTGTGTTATTGGATAAAGGGGGGTGGGGGGGCCTTGTTATGAGCAGGGCCTTGGCCATTTTTGTAACATAGCTAAACTTTAAATTAGTTCTACAAGTAGTTTATTATAGACATTTACTTATGTGTCATGGTTACTTCATTATTTAGAGCATTTCAGCTATCTTTTGAGGAATGTTTCCAGTTAATGTTTTGGTATGACTGTCAAAGTAAAGTAAGCTGATCAATATTTAGCTCTTAAAACTTCAAAAACTATGTCAAGCAGACGTCCAACGTGGATGCTTTAGAAAAAAGTGACCATCTGTCGCTGTTCTTGTATTGGCAAAGCTTTCCCCTGTTTTCTTTGCCATTTCAAAACATGTTGGGAATCATATATTGGCTGGAAGTTTCACAGTATGGCTTTATTACACAATGTCTATACAGTAATGGAGTGTAACTTTAGTGCTAAAATGATTAATCTGTTTGGACCATTTGCTGCTTATAACAATATATAGCATTTGTTAGAAACCTGCTTCTGTCATGTCAGCATTTAGCTTATACATCAAGATTCATGTTTCATTTTGTTCTTTGCTTTTCAGAGCTTCTTTCTGCTTCTCTACAGCCTGTGATCCTCCAGGGGGAGTTGCCTTATCTGTGGCAAGACCACTGCTGACATTGCAACTTCTCCCAGTGGATCGAAGTGTAGCTTATGATCTTATTATTTGTGGAAGCTCTGCATGAATCCTGAAGATAACTACATTTCTCCTAAAGGCAACCTCACCTAAATTTGAAGCTGGATGACCAGGGTACAGGACTCTCTCTACTGATCAGTAATTTTTCTACCTTGAGTATCCATAATTACTCAATTCATGCAATGCATCTGAGATGGCACAGGCCTATAAAAGAATATTGTAATAAAAGAGTCACTTGCTGGAGAAGTTGAGAAACACAACTTGCCAAAATGCATTAATGAACTTTTTAAACTCGACTTAAGTGGATGTTATCGGTTGTATTCATGAAGTCTGGCTGCTGATGCCAGCTCACTGGAACTTGAGAGGGTGTAATCAGTTTTATTGATGAGCCCTCTGGCTCTGAGTGTGGGTACAGCCTGGACATTGGATGCCCTGAGTGTGTTGAATTGGCTGTTGCAGTGATGAGGCAGGGCTCCTGGTGGCCTTTGCGGATGGCCGGGCAGGGGCCCAGGGTAATGTGATGGGGTGCAGGAACAGTAAGGTCCTCCCTGAGCCTCCAGGGGATGTTCAGTTGGACCTGGTCAAAAAGGTCAGTAAATGACAATGTTATAATTGTATGATAATGATATTGTTACTGCCATGTACTGTTAGTTAAAAGCAGCAGTAGAACCATTACTACTACCAGTTTTAGAAGTTTAAGAACCTGGAACTTAGGGAATTATTAAACAGTTAATTGAAAGGCATTTCAGAATTGTATATTCATTAAAGCCCCTGTGCACATAGTTTTTATATGATTGTTGCCTCTTTCATAGTATTCTGACGGCATCTGTCTTTTTGTAGAACAGTGGAACAGTCCTGGTGAAATGTGGTGCAGTCTGGATATGTAACCTCAGTCAGAATGTTATGAATCCTTCACAGTAGACCTGAAGCAACCAGTAGATTAACTGATAAGACAAACAACAGAAAATTAATTGGCAACTAATTTGATAATTGATTAGTCATTTTTGAAGTTACTGCATCAACATTCTGTAGTTCCAGCTTCTATAAGGTGCATTTGCACCTTTTCAAAGTCTTCACTAACATTAACCTGACAATATTTGGTTTTTGAAATATAAAAAATATGAAACAAAAAAACTCCTGGCCAGCACATTGTTTTTTGTTTGTTTGTTTTTGAACTCCCAAATATCATCATCTTATACATCCAATATCAGTCAGGATATGCTAACAATAAACTAAAGGTGGAAGTCAGATCAAAATCTGACTGGTTTGGGCGACACAACATGGGTAAAGAGCGGACAGGAAATAACACTGGCAGATTTGTAAATGCCTGCAGGAGCTAGTGTAGCTATAGTGGGCCAACAACAGCCGTTCACAAAGTTGTGAATTAAACAGCATTTTACCAAACATTTCACTGTCGTTGACCTCTGTCACTGTCATCACACTCACTACAGCTAAACAGCATCCTTTATTATCTGCTGCTTATAGCATATCTCTATGCAGTTATAAAATAATGTCATAAAGAAACATAAAGGAGAGGTCTGTCTCAGAGCCTCTCATAGCCTCTCATAGCTTGTCTGGACATTGGTGAACCTCATGATTTCAAAGTTCACTGTTCAGTCTGATTCAGTTATAGTCTTTAATCCTTTCTTATGTTCCACACAGAAGAAGAATCAGCACTTGTACTACTCTGGTGTACATTTTGCATCTTTTATTAATTCTGTTTATGTATGTTTCAGGTTGATCCTCTCCAACCCCCTCAGACAGATATTTGTAAGCACTTCATACGAGGGGATGGCACCGGAAGCAAGGTGGGTGGGGCCGGGGGAGGTGACAAATCTGACTCCACCCCCCCACACCCTGCCCAGGCACAAGCTGCCACTCCCACTGCTTCTGCCCTGCCCCCCAAGGACCTGTGTGAATTGTCAGACCCTCAGCGGAAGAAAGTGGAAAAGTATCGAGCCAAGTTTGACCCCCGGGTCACAGCCAAGTACGACATCAAAGCTCTGATAGGCCGTGGGAGTTTCAGCCGAGTTGTTCGTGTGGAACACAAGAGCACACGGCAGCCGTATGCCATCAAGATGATCGAGACACGTTACCGGGAGGGGAGAGAAGTGTGTGAATCAGAGCTGTGTGTTCTCCGACGTGTTCGTCATACCAATATAATCCAACTGATGGAGGTTTTTGAGACTGCAGAACGTGTCTATATGGTGATGGAACTGGCCACCGGAGGAGAGCTCTTTGACCGGATCATTGCTCGCGGCTCCTTCACAGAGCGGGATGCCACACGGGTGCTGCAGATGGTGCTGGATGGTGTCAAGTATCTACACACTTTAGGGATCACTCACCGAGACCTGAAGCCAGAGAACCTGCTGTACTACCACCCGGGACCTGATTCCAAGATTATCATCACGGACTTTGGTTTGGCCAGTAGCAGGAAGAAGGGAGATGAGTGTCTGATGAAGACTACCTGTGGCACACCGGAGTACATCGCCCCCGAGATCTTGGTGAGAAAGCCCTATACAAATGCAGTGGACATGTGGGCGTTGGGGGTGATATCATATATCCTGTTGAGTGGAACCATGCCCTTTGAGGATGATAACCGCATGAGGCTCTACCGGCAGATTCTCAAGGGGAAGTACAGCTTTTCTGGAGAGGTGAGGAGTTAGATCTGTGTCAGGCTCTCTTTCTCTCCCTCTCCCTCTCCCTCTCTTTCTCTCTCTCACACACTCCAGCAGACTTAACTCATATTTGGGATACATTCCTCATACTACATGGGGCTTTGTCAACAGATTTCCAAGAGGTTCTGCTTTCCTTGTGTGGTGACATGGTTTTAACACAGGCAAACACTTTTTTAAACTTAAGTCCTCATGTCCAGTTATGCTCATTTCTCTTATGTACCTTTTACCTCTCTATGCTCACTCTCATTTATCTGTGCTGTCTAATACGCTCTCCCTCTAAATGTGCACACAGTATTTTTTCTCTATTAATGAGTGTAGTTGAAAAAAAATGCTGTGCTGTCCACTCCTTTGTTTCTTAACGTGGGATGTTTATGTTGCCAGAGAGCTTTACAAAAGCTTGGTTAATGTTTGTCATGTAAACAGCCACTCCAGTGCAAATAATACTTGTGTAGTTTTGTAATATTTAATATGGAGCAGTTGAATCATCTCTGGGGATGAGTCCAGATTTGAATTTCTCAAGTTTCTGACAGGTAAGTTAAGGTCAGATCTTGTACATTTAATAATTGAAATTGCTGCCAGGGAGCCTAGGTTTTAGCTGAGGTCTGCAAATAGTGAAGTAGAGCAGCTGGAAGAAACAAAAGTATATCCAGAAATTGACTATTATGCATTTTTAGGATGATACAAAGGGTATTGAGTAGCTTGTGAGCTTAGTTGTCACATAAAAGAGTAACAAACAAACAGTTCTTCATGAGAGCACTGACAGTGTGTTCTTTGTTCAACACTACCGTGCCACTGTGACATGCAGGGCGCTATGACTGCTCTTCCACTTTAGGGAATTGGACTGACATATTTAAAACTTTTTATTTAATATGGCAAACTTGCCAAAGGTTGCTGTATGGGGTTGTGTTTACTAGATGCATATAAGTCCAATATTAAGTCTTCTTTTGGCTCTGTTTTTAGTCTCCACCAATCCCTGAACAAAATAACCATCCCTTTAGCTGCTAAATGCTCCAGTGCATTCACCAGCTAATTGCCAACTTGTCTGTCTGTTGTTTGCTGCCACACACATAGTGTATAGTAGTTTTATTAATCATTAGGCTAAAAACAGCCAAAAGGGCAGTGAGAGGGCAGTAAAAGTGAATCAAAACAGTCAAGTGTTGGGTTGGAAAAACCAAAATCACGAGCTGAGAGACACTGAAAAGCTCAGTGGAGCTGAGCGAAGGTGCAGAGTTGAGTGATAATTCTCTCTAGACATAGTCATTTGACTCAGTTTTTACTATTGTTATTATAGCAGCCTGGGTTCGAGTCAGGGTTGCGTCAGGAAGGGCATCCGGCATAAAACACGTGCCAACTGTCAAAAGTAACTTTCTTTCTTTTATTATAGCAGCTTTAAAGGTGCCCTGTGGAATATTCTTGTAAACAAAGTCATGTTATCTACCTAAATGCATAATTTGTATCTTTGAGGTCTAATGTGGAATGTGTTGCAATAGTTGCAAAAGTTTCAATTCTGCATTGTTTATATCCATATCTGCTTGTTTTTCTTCTTTGTCTTTGTGGTGTATTACTACTTTTTTAACACGGCACTGTCATCACCTGTCAATCACTGGCACAGTGAAAAAATAGTAATGTGCATGTTAATATGAGACCACATGTGCATGACACAAACAAAACAGGGACCCACATTGCTCCATAGTGCAACTAGTGGTCACAAACTCCAAAGAGCACCTTGAACTGCTCCTGTATATAGCAGTGACCTCCAGTGGCTAAATGGCGGCTAAATCTAAAAAGCCTATGAAAATGTGTAATGCTGAAACAATTAGTCAATTAATTGATGAGTCAATCAAAAGAAAATTAATACCTTTGATAAACAATAATTTACTGTAACTAATTTATCCCCCTGAAATATTGAGAAGAAATACCTCAACCCTATCAGATTTGTGTTGGTGGCCTTGGGACCCTTGATAACTTGAATGAGGAGGACTGTACACTGGCTTGCTGTTTCACAAAAAAATACCAAATATTTACAAGTTCTTACTTCCCAGTTGTTCAGATTTGCTTCTTTGCCTTCTTTTATATCATTGTAAACAATAGTTTGGGGTTTTGGACAATAGAGTGGACAAAACAATCAATTCTCACCTTCTCTCTGAGACAATGTGGTAGCATTTTTTCTTTCTTTTTTACTATTTTCAAATATTTGCACACTAAATGACAGTTTAAATATTCAGTAACTGGGGACTAAAAATTGTTTTTTCTGCACCTGGTACTGATGTAATTTTGCATTGTTTGGCACATCCGGTCGCTCAGTAGTTAAGATGCATACCACATAATTTCAGCGCACCCCTCTTTTGTCCCTGTGTTTCCTGTATGTCTTCTGTTTACTGTTTCTGTGAAATAATGCCATAAACATAATATTTTAACAATATATATGTGCTGTGATAGTTGTAGATTGATGAATTTTACAATGGGTTTGAACATGACTCAGTCATAACTGAGTACTAGAAGTATTCATTTTAATGGAGTAATTTTATCATCCCGGGTCAGATGGTATGTGAGAACATTTGCAGCAGTGCATGGCAGAAAGGCATGTGACACTTGAAGAAAGTCCTCTCCTGGGGAATAATGAGAGCAGGAGATGAGGTGAAACATTCTTAATTGCTCTTCCTCTGGCAACATGTAACTTTACAGCTGTGGTAAATAATGGTCACATTTACAGCTGCAGCCCAAAGAATTACTCACGCTCTGGGCATTGTTGTAGGTGGAGGAGGAATGTATGTCCGAAGGTTATCTATGTGTCATGTATCTTTATTCATACTGGTGATTTACCTGCTCTGTGTGTGTGTGTGTGTGTGTGTGTGTGTGTGTGTGTGTGTGTGTGTGTTTGGGTGGGGGCGTGGGGGGTATTTGTCTACTGGGAGACTGAAAACACAGCAGGTTGCTAAGCAGGACATCGTGTACAAATTGTATTTGTGTGTGTTTGTAGAAAGGCATGCAACACTGATAATCCCAAGTCTCGTCTAAGCAGGGGGTAGACTTTGAATCACTACCAGTCTCTCATACTAAATAAGTCCATGCCACAGAAAGAGCTGAAAGAAGCTGCCAAAGAGAAAAAAGCTTTGACATTTTATTATCCATTAGATCTTTTGGGAACAGGATATTCTGTTCAAGCAAAACATATGCAAAGAATCAAGCATAGGTACATCCAGTTCTTATTATTGATTTTGACAATATCAAAAGACCAAAACCCAATATTGCATTGTATTGTACAAACTGAACATCTAATATGGCCAAAGGACCAAACTTCTTATTAGTTCAGAGCTCTTACATTCTGAGCATTGCATCACTCTGCTGCCCTCTTGTGTCCAGTGCAAAACTCTGCTGATGCCTACTGATTAAAGTCCTGCCTTACTTGGATGTTTGGCCCTCCAGTGCAGAATCATGTTATGTGCAGAGTTTGTCAGTCCAGTACTCATATTTTAGCTGCTCTGCCATATCCATAAAAGCCCATGTGTTGAAGAGGGAAAGTTTCTTTGTGCACACCTTAGGTCTCAGTTTAACATGTGTATGTAGGCCTAATCTGTAACATATACTGCTGTGATGTAGAAACATGTAATGTTTAGGTCACATACACCAAGAATATTGGTTTCAGTGAACCAGAACAAATCCTGTGTCCAGCATGTTAAAGTTTTGAAATAAACAATATTTGCATATTCATTTGGTGGGGTGGGGCTGGGGGGCATCAAGGAGCAAGCAATAGGAGGAGTTCTATGGACATTTTAACTTTAACTTCAGACAAAATATTATTCAAATCACAGCATATTTTATGCCCTAAACTACAATATGTTTGCAAATGTATGTAAAATATCAAATACTAGAAAATGGTGTTCTCGTATTTGCTGATATTTTTAATCTCTTCTTTTCTCTATCAAACATACAAGGTTTTCCTTATTTCCATACAGTTACCTGTTAATTTCCGTGATTTACCTTTTATTTACATTTCCTCTTCATTCTTGTTGTTTTTGCCTTTATTTTATGAATGTATTGTCATTTAAACATTTTCACATAGCAGAAAGAGCACAGGTAGAACTACTCTCATTAATGACTTAATGATATTAGTAGCACCTGTGCAACATCGCTTTGTGCACACACCTCAGGTGATGAACCACTAGTTTAGTCTATATAGAGCACTTAGACTAAAATCTCAGCATACTCAGTTACATAATTACATTCTTGTCTCCAATCTGTCTCCCCTCTCCAGCCGTGGCCCAGCGTGTCCAACTTAGCCAAAGACTTTGTGGAGCGAATTCTAACGGTGGACCCCAGTGAGAGGCTGACAGCTGGCCAGGCCCTCAAGCACCCCTGGATTATCAGCATGGCTGCCACCTCCTCTATGAAGAACCTACAGCGGTGTATATCTCAGAATCTCCTGAAGCGAGCTTCCTCACGTTGCCACAGCACCAAGTCAGCTCAGTCCACACGTTCCAGCCGCTCTACCAAGTCCAACAAAGCACGGCGGGGGCGAGAGAAGGAGCTGCGTGAGCTGAAACGCCGCTCTCAGCAACAGCACAATACAATGTGACAGCTAACGACTGTAGTGGACTTTATACTTTGAGGAAGACAGAACTACAATAACTGATCTTTTCCAGTGACTACCACCATCCTACTCTATGTTGCTGCCAGTGTCAGTGACCAAAATGACTTGATTTCCCAAATCAGTGCCTTGTAGAAAGGGGACAATGATTGGACTAATTCCATGGCTACAAGCGAAAATAAAATTAAGGCTGAAAAGTAACTGCTGCCACTTTAGACTATAAAACAAATCAAACATTATTCCTAAACCATAAAGGCTGAAATAAATGTATTCCTATGGCAGTGTATCTCCTGATGGGAACACAGAAAGACACATCAGTAAAATATTGTACTGCAACAGTTCCATCATCTCCCCATCCAGTCCTTCACCTTTTCTTTGGCAGACTTTCCTTTTGTCTTTCAGTCCCTATGTCTCTACATGTTTATTTATTATTGTTGACATGATTATTAGTCTCCATTCACGTGGTCACTGGATAATGACCTTTCATGAGATCTGTTGAGCAGAGTTCTGGGTAATGAAGTTTCTAAGAGAGGAATACTTACTAGATACTTTTAGAAGTGGGGAAGCCAAATTCCTCTCACTCATTCCCGACTGAAAATTGCTGTGAACGTTTTTTGTACTAATTGTACAGATCTTGTCTTACGATGGGGAAATTTGAAATACACTACAGCATAACCACACTCTTCTAAGCTTATCTAGTCTTGCCAGTGTTGCTTTGTTAATGCAATTGTTCTAAAACTGTCAAAAGATTGTGAAGCTGTTTTCTGTCAGTGTTTATTTTTATATATATGTTCTACACAACCCCACTCCCAGCCATTTTACTTTAATCATGGAGTATCTGCTATGAGCCTGTCCCATTAGTAGTATTCAAATTGTTCACTAGTTATCAAAATGGTATGTGGCCACATAGAGTGTTCAGTGGTCTTACAGCTTTCTTGTTAGTTGCAGTGAGAATGGCACATGTTCTTAGAACAGTGAGGAAGGCCAGATCTTAGGCATGGAGAGCGACTGCTGTTGGTTGTACCAGGTCATTTTACAGTCAGTACAGGAAGTATTCAGACCCTTTCGAGTTTCCACATTTTTTTATGTTTCAGACTCATTTTAAAATTGATTATTTTTTTGTGTTCATCACTCTACACACAGTATTCCACAATGATAAAGTGAAAAGGTTTTGAGTGTTTTGAAAATCTATTAAAGATAAAAAACTGAACTATCCCACTTATGTAAGTATTCAGACCCTTCACTTAGTACTTGGTGAAAGCACCTTTGCCAGCAATGACAGGCTCAAGTCTTCCTAAGAATGAAGCTGCAAGCTTGGCACTTTTCTTTTGGAATTTTCTTCCTTTCTTCTTGGCAGAATCATTGAAGGTCAACCAGGTTGGATGGGGAGTGTTGGTGCACGGTCATGTTCACGTCTCTCCAGAGATGTTCTATTGAATTCAGGTCCAGATTCTAGCTGGGCCACTCCAGAACTTTCACGGAATTTTTCTGAAGCCCCTATTGTGTTTTCTTGGCCATATGCTTCAGGTTGTTGTCTTTTTGTAATGTAAACCTTCACCCCAGCCCAAGATCCTGAGCACTCTGGAGAAGGTTTTCATTAAGAATTGCTCTATATTTTTCTGCATCCATCCTGACTAGTCTTCCAGTCCCAGATAAAGAAAAACATCCCCACAGCCTGATGCTGCCACCACCAAGTTTGACTGTAGGGATGGTATTAGTGAGGTGATGCTCATTGCCTGTTTTTCTCCACACACACTGTTAGGAATTGTGGACATATAGTCCATTCTTTGTTTCACGAGACCAGAGGATTTTGCTTCTCATTGGCTGAGAGTCTTTTCTCTGTTTGGCTGGGTGGCCAGATCTATGAAAACTGTTCGTGGTTCAAAATCTCTTTCATTTGAAAATGATGGAGGCTACTGTGCTCTTGGCCACTTTCAATGCGGCAAAAATTCTCTTGTATCCTTCCCCAGATCTGCATCTTGAGACTGTCGTACTTCGAGCCTCATGTAAACTAAATTAATTCATCCCAGTTTAAATAATCATTTAATATTACAGTAATTCTGAACAGGTCGATAAGTTATGAGACACTCCTGCAATCTGGTAGTTAGGAAACAGCAAACAGAATCATTCCTCCTGCAATGGAATAGATAAAGTATTAAATAAGGAGATTGTCACAGAGTCAGTCCGTCATTGTTGGTCACAAGGTACAGTCAGAGTCCATAGTCCCCCCTGGCCGGGTCCAAATGCACACTCACGACTGCAGCACCATTTCTTCTCTCTCCCCTAACCCACAGCTGTCCTAACTTTTAGCTTCTCGCAGTTACACAGCCTCCTATTGCTTGAGCCAGAGTCACAGTCCCATGCCAGCTCTACACCCCTTCTTCTGAGAATTGTCTGAGATGTCCAGTACATGAACTTCTAGGTCACGTTGACCTAGCGCACATTTCCTTTTTCTAAACATGAACAGAGCCCACGAAGTGTTCACATAAGGCTGAAGCTATGCCCATTTCCCATTTAAGGAGGCCTTCTCTCTGGATGTTTACCCATAAATTAAACAAGGAGGACACAAGCCAGGATATACTTGCTTGAGCAAGAGAAGAGAAACAGATCAAGCTTACATAAACACTTAGCTCACCCTTACATGACTATCTATATATGAACTACACACTATTCTATTACATATTACCTCTGGACTGGTACCTTGTTTGTTTTTAATCACTACAAGTCAATCCTGTCTCACAGGTCTGTGGATGGTTCTCTCAACCCCATGGCTTTGTTTTCACTCTATGAGACCTTATAGAGATGGGTGTGTGCCTTTCTTAATTATATATCCAGTGCATTAAATTAAGCACAGGTGGATTCTAATCAAGCTGTAGAAGCATCTCAACAACCACAGGAGTAGGATGCACCAGAGCTCAACTGCAAGTGTTGTAACAAAGGGTCTGAATACTTATGTAAATGTGATATTAGTCTTTTACTGTGTGTAGATTGGTGAGGAAAAAATTTAACAATGCATTTTAAGATGAGTCTGAAACATAAACTGGAAAACTTGAAAGGGACTGAAAACTTTATGTATTTACTTTAAGTACAAATTTAGTATTAATGAATGTGTTAATGTAGTGTATATTTACAAACTACTACATTAAAGTGAGTTGCACCACAGAATCTACTTCTTACATAGAGATTAGTTGTTAGTTTACACCCAGTAACTGCCAGGTGTAGCTGTACTATTAATTAAATTAGCTAAACTGACAGAAGAAATGTTAGTTTTCTACTATAGGACAGGTTTAGAACACTGAAAAAGGTGGAATGGAATATGGTCAACATAGGGCTAAACATTTGTCAAAGTACTGTTAATAATGATCTAAACTAAAGATTTGAAATTTCATTTCACCGAAACAACATATTAACACCCGTGAACTGCCAGGTGAATTGACAAAACTAACCATTTAGGTAAGTAAAATAGCTAACATGGTGGAATATGATCAACAAATCTGACCCAGCACTTGATAAAATGCTATTTAATGATGATTGAAAATGCAGACACTTTGAATTACATTTGAAAAAACACATAAAAAGTTTTATGGCAAAAATAATAGACTGCATGACCTACAGTAATAGTGATCCAACCGTTCCCCACACATTCACAACTTTATAAATACAACTAGCCTTCATGCACTTTTCTTCACATATGGAGAATAAAACCAAACTAGAGAAATGCATTTGCTGATGAAAATGCATGTGGATGCTGTAATACTGAAGGATCACACTGAAAATGCTGAAATGCCTGAAATCAATTGCTGAAACAGCTGAAGAATGAGAAGAAATGGCTGAAGTTCTTTGTTGAAATAGCTGAAGGATGAGATGAAATGCTGAACAATTGTGGAAGTTGAAAAAATGTTGAATAATTATGAAAGGTGAAAAGAAAAAGTACAATAATTACTGTATGTAAGATGAAATTAAAAGTTGAACTTGTGTGTCAGCAGCCCTCACAAAGTAGGGGAAAACGTAGTAGGTAAAACAAGTAGGAGTGTGTGTGTGTGTGTGTGTGT